CGCGCCGCCCGCCTGTCACGCCCCACTGCAAGCAGGCGGCAACACGTTCGCGGCGTTTGCGGCAGGCGCCGGAAGCGTGGCGGCGCGCTGCGCAGCCGGGGCGGCGGCAGCCAGGCGGCCATTCAAGCCCCCGCAGCGGAGTGAGGCCGGCGGACGTCAGGGCGAGGCACCTGCAACGGCTGGCACAGGCGGCGAGGCGTTTGCTGCGTTTGCATGCGGCAGGGAGGACAGGGGTCCTCAGCAGCTGCGGCGCAGGATGCGTTGACCGGCCCACCACAGCTCGAGCTGCGCGTGGATGGAGGTTTGTGCGGCCTCGCCGGACGGCTGCGCTGTCTTTATTTTGCTGTGAGTGTAGACGAGTCCTGTCAACCTTCACTTTGCATGGGCCTCATTTGGTGTTGTCCGTGCACATCATAATCAAATTTACACGGCTGGTTGTGCACTCACACCAGCACTGGGTCAGGACGTTCACGACCGCGCTGGCGGTCGCTGAGGGCGTTTGGTTGGGTTATGTGGCACCCCGCTCGCAGGCAGCGCCCGTGCGCATTGCATGCTGCATGCAAAAAAGCCTGTAAACAGGCTCAGGTGACTCCCGTCACAATCAGCCAACACACAAGATTGAGTTTGTGCAAACTGTGGGGTTCAAGTGGTTCTTACCACTGCAGTCAACATCTTGAATCATCTCGGCAGCAGCTGCATTGCAGCTGCCTTTCAAAGATTTCCTGCCCTGGACGGCTCTGGAAACCACGCAGCCGTGGGTTTGCCAGGGTTGAGCTTGCCGACTGCAATTTGTGTGGTGTGTGGTGCTGCAGACAGCAGGGCGTGAAGCCCGCCCTTCGGTGCAAGGTGCGGTTCGCCTGCGGTCGCAGCTGCCAATGCTTTGAGCGAGCCGGGCCCGGCTGCGCTGCCGCCACTCCCCGCAACCAGAGTCGTGACAGACCCGACCGCCGCAGCCGCCACTAGGCTGCCACCGCTGCTAGGCCCAACGCCCATGCAGCTGCGCCCCAGGCCGCCGCCGGCGCTGAATCCTGCGCCGGCACTGCTGCGGCTGCGGGCGGCGCCAACGTCCAGGCTGACCCTGGCTCGCGCCCTGACCCCTCCCGCCACCAGGTCCACCAGCGCGCCGTCCTCTGTGAGCTGCGCGTAGTATATGAGGGGCGGCAGGGGCCGCTCACCAGCGATGAGGATGCTGCAGCTGCCGGCGTCGTACGAGAACACGCGGCCAGAGCACCCCGCAGCTGAGCGCCACTGCATCGCCGCGACCGGTGGAACTGCGGGGCCCCCAAAGGCAAGGCGGCACGGGCGGCCGGCTAGGCCTGCAATTAGGGCGCTGAGAGGCAGGGAGCCATCAGCCGAGATCTGGAATGACGGCGGCTGCAGCGGTTCCGCTTGCTTGTTCCCTGGACACTGGGGCGAGAGGCCACTGGCAGCGGCTGCTTCATAGCCGTTGCGCTCGATTCTGCTGGTGGCTGCAGAGCCATTTGCTGTGAAGTTTGCAGCTACATGCTGATGAGTGGCGCCCTGATGGAACCCACTGCTGCCGCTGCTGATTACGGTACATGCTGAAGGAATGCAGCTGTCACTGCCGCCACATCTTTCGCTGGGGCCTGCAGGGAGGCGGGCTCTGGCGCGAGCTGCCTCAGCTGGTGGCGCTGCGCCAGGCGCATGGTGGACGGCCGCCGGGCGCACTGCCCATCCAGGCGCCGCGCTGCTGCTAGAGGGGCTGCTGGCGGCGCTGCTGCTGGTTGAGCTGCTGGTGGGCGGTGTAGCACTGGCTTGCCTGATCGGCAAGCATGTCAACCGGTCGGCGGGCTCGACCGTGCTGGCAACTGCACCACTGCTGCCGACGGCTCCTTCGTCCAGGGTGATGCGCGTGCGCACCGGGCGCCCGCCCGAAAACAGGTCGATCAGCGCGCCCCCCTCAACTGCCTTGCCGTAGTACACCACCCGCGGCAGGTGATCCTGGCCGTCAATCATCACGCTGGCCGTGACCTCATCAAAATGCACCACGCCACCCGAGTGCGCCGCTGCTGATTGCCACTGCGCCGCCACGGTGTGCGGGACACCCACATTGAGCGCAAGGCGGCAGGGGCGGCCAGCAAGGCTGGTAATGAGGGTGCTGAGGCGCAGGGAGCCATCGGGTGCGATCCGGAATGAAGGCGGCGGCAGCAACACGGCGGCTGCCTTGCCGGGGTTGCTGCTGGTGGCAGCTGAAACAGCTGCTGCCGGTTTCAAAGCCTTGCATTTTGCAGATGACCAATGTGAAACCGCAGCGCTGTCCCTTTTGCTGTCGCCGATGCCGCTATCGCTTCCGCTCTCACTGCTATCGTCGCCGCCACTGCTGTCGGCCCAGCTCAGCTCGTCAGAGCCGCTCCTGCTTGCTCCACAGGCATGGTCATGGCTCTCTGGGGAAACGGAAGACACCCAGCCATTCATGGCTGCTTGATCACTATCTGCCTGTGCCTTGCACACTGCACTGCTGCCAAACATCCACCTGTCTTCCATGATCTGCACCAAGCTGCACTCGTGCGCCATGGCGCTCAGCGCCGGCGGAGGCGCGAAGAGCACCCTGCGACCAGTGATCGCATTTTTTTGCGTTTTTTTAATGTTCAGGAAATTTTGGAGTCGCACTTGCCTGCCAGGCGGGCCAAATCGCAACATCACAGTAGACGCACCGGCTTCTCAAGAGCCGCAGGAGCTTTATCATGATATCAATTCTGATGAGTGGCGCAACATGTCAAATCGGCGTCTATTGTGCTGGTGTTGCGTTCTTGTATGCCCTGCGACGGTTTTTAAGTACTACCCTATGATGATTCAGCAAGCTCGACTTGTTGCGATATAATAAAGACGTTCACAAATGTTTACCTTAACGGTTTGTAACGCGACAGAAGAGCAGAGTCAGGAACGGCCCTGCACAATTCACAACAGGGTGGTGTGCGATCACTGCAGTGCATGAGTGCACGCCGCACCTTCGCAAAAACCAATGCTCTGCCGGCCCGTCAGCAGCTGTTGTCTCCATGTCAGTCTGGCACACAAATGACGGCACACATGGTGGTTACGTCAATGCCCTGGCTGCAGCAAAGGGGGGGGCCTCCAGTCTAGCAGGTGTGCTGCGCGGATGGGGGCGTGCGGCCTGCTGCCTTGATTCATTTGCCCGCAATCAAGGCAGGCAGACATGAGAACAAAAGAGGGTGTGGTGACGCAAAGCCAGGTAGCACCTGCACGTAGTATCGGCGCTGGTGCAGACCCAACCCGAGACGGGTTTGTCTCTGGCTGCCGTCGTCCTATCGACTATTCGTGTCCCAGATAGCTTTTGCGGAGCTCCCAGGTTGCAAGTGGACTTTCGCCATTGCCACACGCCAAGCAATTGAGGCAGGAAAAACACCTCGACACAGATCATTTGCCTGCGTCTCTCACTGTTTGTGGGGAGCCATGTTTGGTCTATCACTGTTGTAAATAAAGGCACCTGGTGAGCTTGCAATTCTTAGGTCTGTCCGCTGAAAGTCGCCGTGCCACAGAAAATTCCTGGCCCTACAACACAAATGAAACTCCAATGCCTGCGCTGTGCGTTGACATCACCGCCCTACATGGCGCTTGGGTCCCTCTATCTGCTGAAGCCCTGCTCATGTGCAACGTTGCTCTGTTAACAGAACAGGAAGTTGGTAACATTGGCCGTCCGCCCGCTCCCTGGGCCTAAAGCAACCTCTTGACCGCCAGCGGCTGGTCACCACGGGAGGGCGCCCCCATCCCGCGTAAAAGAGCCGTTGGCCCCATCAGGCATCTCCGCCCGGCGCTCATAAGGCCAGAGGATGGACGCTGCCCCCTGCTGCGCTGATCGGTCTGCCGCCTGCGTGCCCATGTCTGTCCTGCACCAGCCAGGGCACACAGCTGCTACGTCAATGCCACGGATGTGCAGAGGGCTCCCATCTTGCGCCAGCAGCTGCACAGCGCGGTTGAGGGCGGCCTATAGACGAGCGCGGCATGCAGGTTGAGATGTTGGTTGGCTATGTGCAGGTGAAATGCTGAGTGGACGACATGAGGTGTGACAAGGCTTCAGCCACAGTCATTCCAACCTTCAAACCAACGGCACTGCTCGGCACCCCCTTTGTTCGAAGCAGCCATATGGCAGATGAATTGCCCAGCACAAGGCCGCATCATACCTTCGACACTGAGTATTCGGGGCTGGTTGTGTTGTGCTGAGGCATGGGGCTGGCTGGATTGTAGTGCCTCGTTGCCTCTCGCAGCGCCTTTGCGCACGCAGCGAAACAGCGAGTTTGTGACGGGGATGCGTGCACCATTGTGCGGTGAGCAATCGTGTGTGCTTTTGCATGTATGTGTGCGTGTATGTGGGTGAGTGTTGACCTGGCGTGCCAACATCTGACAAAAACAGGCGCAAAGGTCGACATTTGATGAGAGAGCGAAATCAGAGAATGTGGGGCAGCAACGCTCTCATGAATCAGAGCTTGAATGAGGCCAGCAGCATGACCGTACGGCATGCGGCCCCATGGTTGATCCACTGAGATACCTCAAGTGTGAGCGCCTGTGAAATGGGTCCCGCATAATCAGGTGTCAGGTAGGACAGCTTGCCCAGGCCTGTGGAGGAGAAAACGGCGAGCGTGGGGACACCACTTCAGCTTGCGTATGTGGTGGATGTGTGAAGGGCTGGGGGTGGCAGGCAGTGATCAGAGCGGCATGCAAGTTGTTCACAGGGGATCGGCTGGCATCAACACCCACAATGAACCACTCTGACCGCCCCTTCAAATGCGCAAGCATGTCCCACACAACGGTGGTCCCCGCCTGGTGCGCATTATTTACCAAAAGCAACCTGCCACCCAGCCACCCAACCACCCAACCACCCAACCACCCACCCGACGAGACCATCAGCACTAGCGCGCCTGGTGACAGGTGCGGCGCCAGCGCCAGCGCTGTCTCCACTGCGCCCTCAAAGTTTGTGGCGATGCAGGCCCTGTAGTCCTGCTCCCGCCA